CCTTCCCCTCTCCGCACACCCCTCCAGCAGGCACGGAGCAGCCGGTGGCGCTCAGCGCTCCTCAGAAACGCCCGTTCCAGAGTTATTCCTGGGCTGAACCGGACCCCAAAGGGCAGGCCATGCCATGCCACGCCACGGCCTCGAGCTCCGACACAGAGCCTGGCCCAGGGGAACAAAACCGTAACGTGCAGTAAAGCCGGCAGAGCAGAGAGCCCTTTTTCTGTATGGCAAGATCTACACTGTGAAAAACGCTGATTACAAATCCCCTGAGAACACTCCAGCGAGTGTCCCACCCTCCTGGAGGAGAATGTGCCGGGCACCTACACAAGTGACTTGTAGCATACCTAGAGGAGAGGGAACTGAGGCTGACCCATCTTCTGCCTTTAAATCCCGTTTTGCTAGCCCACTTCCAGCACAACCGAGCCAAGCGACACTTTAGATCGACAGCACGCTATTCACACAGAGGCCTAAGCCCCAGCTCCAGGCCTGGAAGCTGATCGCTCTCTGCAGGCAGAGTGCTCGGCCAACCAGGGGCGTTCTCTACCTCTCACCTGGCACACGTGCCACAGGGCGAGCACTGGGGATTTGCAGTGACTGACCAGCACCCTCAGGCTCACAAACTGTTCCGAGAACTGTTAGACCCACCCATGAAATCGGCCCGTTTCATTAGCTCATGAGGTGGGCTGTCCCATGGAACCCTGGAGAAATTCAAACAGCCAGTACTTCACATGGGAGATACCCGGAGATATTTACTTGGACCTGCCCAGACATGAGTGTTGCTTAGCAAACAGCAAGTGGCTCAAAGCCGTTACTCAACTTCTAAACAGCAAAGCTTACAAGAACCAGTATTCTGTGTGCCTTGTTCTGGAAAACATTTCCATCTTCCACATCAAGGCGTTACTCTAATTCTGCTCTGCTGTTTTCAGTGCAATGGAAGCAACCTTCGAACAACAGCTAGACAGGACAGCAAGCAGCTCCATGAGCAATCCCTCTCACACTTCACCTCCGGAATGGAGGGGGGTGTGAAAGCGGTACGCCATGGTGGTTAAAGCGTACCGGAGCTGGTAACGCATTTAGGGCAGACTTCTATGAAGTTTGCTCCTCTCTCCCTCCATCTTGCAAGCGTGCTAGAACAGCAGCAGCAACACTCGAGTCATTTGAAGACACATTTCTGTATTTAAATCTGACATTAGCTGTTAAGTTGGTAATTGAACGGAACATAAAGAGAGCATGACCCTGCCAGTCACGTCCCTCCAGCCAAAGGGAGAAGTCAGAGCATTTTCCGGGTATTTCGGGCCATAGTCACAGATTTCACTAAAGCTACAGTTTTGAAAGCAACATGAGCCACTCTGCTCGTCTTCCTTTATCCGTCTGAAAACACACTACTAGCATTTACAGAGGACTTCCAAACTGATTCCCTCATCATTCTCTTTTGACTTTCACTACAAGACAGACAAGTTGGTGTATGGGGGCTCTTAATCGGTTTGTTCTGCCTGTAACATTGTGTTTGCAGACCACTGTGGTGTCTGCAGGTGTGTCAGTTCCTGAGTGATTGTAGCAGTGCTGGCTGCCAAGGAACAGCCGCCTTATTGACGCGCCTCTACTGACAGGACCAAAGGGCAGCACGTGTGAGAAGCGAGATGGGCACTTGGAAGACTAGCAGACTTCGTAAAGGGAAAGAACACCCTTGGGCAATACGACCTCTGAATGTGAAGGATGAACCGAAACCACTATTGCCTGCGAGGAATTTTACTTTGCACAACCCTTAAAGCTATGAAATTCCTCTCAACATAAAAAGTGGAAAAAACCCACCAGAGAACAGACGGCTCATTTACAAGCCAGTCTGGGTCATCTAGAATTTCTGCTAAGATTAAATTACACCCCTGCATGAATCACATTACTTTTCGTCATAAAAGCTTTCCATTCTAACACCTTATTTACACAGATTACTAAACGAGTCACTACCACTTCAATCTGTAAATCGGTTTTAAATGGAAATAGTTCCTAGTCCTCATTTTTGTACCGAAGACAATACATACATACACATAAGGAGTAATACAGGTTCTAACTAATCACTGCAGTATCTTCTGATGATTATTTTTCTATCAGTTTAAAATAGTGACCTCTACACTGAGGTGCTAATATGTATATAAAAGCCTACACAAACAATATTGCACAAAGTAAGATTTATAATAGAGTAACATATTTTAGAGACCCTTATAAAGAGAAGAGTAATAATTGATATTAAAAAGATGCATCCAGAACTAACACAGCATCTTTGCTTTTGTCTAGTCTAACATAGTGTTTCAAATCTTTCCTACCCCAGTGAGGATTAGAACAAATAAAGTTACCTGGAGACAGCTTAAGTTGCACAAAACGCAACTGGTACTCTAAATGTGGGGAGGGGGAAGGGAGAGGGGGAAAGGGACAGGACTTTTCCTTTTGATGGCTGGAAAGGGCAGTAATAAGCGGGGCGAGTGAAAGTCAAATACAGATTACACGTTAACATCCAGAAATATTGAAAGATTGTTTAAAAACTATTGATAGCTGACACTCTACACATCTAGCACGTGCCACTGATTTTTCCACAGTACCTGGGCACCCAGAAGCTACGCATGGAAAAAGCAGCCCAATTCCATAATACTTTTTATTGTGAAACAGTAACACAGAACTTCCTAGAACAAGGACAGCCTTGCTGTGTACGTCAGTTACCAACTCAATGCTATTACAGTAAGTGCATCAGTACAAGGGAAAGTGTGGTTCCACTGGACACGTTACGACCTGATCAGAACAAGCTGCCGAGTTGGTTAGTATTTTAAAGCCTTAAAGTGCTCAAAGATAGCAGTTTCCTCCACAAGACTACCAATAGGTTCTCTAATTTTGACACTAGTATTCATCACGTTCAGGGAAGATGTATTTTGGAAGCAAAACCCTCACACCAAACAACATAAGCAGTGCTATAAAACGTGTTAGGTCAGCAAGTCGTTGCATTTCAACAGGATCAGACACTTTCTTCAGTTAATTTTACAGATCACCTTTGTAGGAACCGTCAGAAATAGAGATCAATTTCTATAGCTTGTATATAAACCCAACTCATATATAAACCAACATGTCAAGAACAGACATATCAAAAATTTCACAAATCATCAAAAGTGCTGTGCTTTCTCTTTTTTTTTATTTTTTAAGCAATTAAAATGAGATGGGAAGTCACTTTGCAAGTCTTCTACAAAAGCATCACTTTCTGGTGAAGATTAGAGATAAAGTAAAGTAGGGAAATAACACTGACCAATATAGTTCAATCATTTTATGTTCCTGGAGGAATTTCATTCTGACTTTGAGGAGATATTCAATATCTCTTTAAACAGAAAGAAGTGGTAGACCACTGTTACAGGTTGTACTAAGGGGTTAAAATACAACTTGAATTTTGCATAATCTGTGTAAAAAAGATATGCTTGACATTTTGGAATGTCACCTTTCTTTATAGAATTATAGGCAAGATTTCTCCAATAAAACATAAGCCAGTTATAAAACTATAACTTCACATCAAAATTTTAAAAAGTTGTTAAAAAAATGTTTGATTATATACATATCACACAGAAGAGCCTGCATGATCCTGTGGATTGTGTTGCTGATCAGACTCTATTTTAAAACCTGGAAGGGGCTGGGCCACCTGATCTGGTTGCACAAGTCCTGATATTGAAGAAACAGAGGAGGAGAGCACCCCTGCTGCAAGCTGCATTTCTACACCTGGTTCTTCCGACTCTATTTTTACACTCACGCACTGGGGTTCACCTTCTGACTCTGTCTTCCCAGGATCACTACTGTTCAAGCTTGAATGGCCTTCTGCGCTCTGAGGAGTCTCCCCCACAGGGTGATACTGTTTAAGTCGTATGTGCCAGGCTAAGCTGCAGACTGCTGACACTGTTTTGAACTGATGAATGACATTTCTAGGGATGAAGTAGATGTCATTGTCACACAACTGAATTCTAGCATAGCGAATGCCTTCCCGTCTCATTTGGTTTAGTTTGGCTTCATCCACCCATTGAACACACTGAGAGAAGGAAAGATGGGAAAGTTAGTGGTATTCTCTGCTGAGAGGAAACAACTCCGTATCCCCGTTCTCAATGCACTTCGTGTCTAAATCAGAACATTTCTGTTTAACAGGTGAAACTTCAAATTTCAATGAGAATTGGACTTTTTAAACATAATTTGTCTAACGCGCACATCTTAGGAGAGGGCAACGAACAGTTAAGAGCATTCTACAGCTACAGCTGAGAACAGCAGGTTCGACAGGAGGCTGCATTGTTTTGGCTGACAGGAGCCAGTTTAGATGCCTTCAGATCCTAAGACAACATCAGTACGTTAGAAAAAGCAGATTAAGACAACATGTAGGTCTGCTTCAACTTCTAATTGTTTCTATAGCATGTATGAGGAGTCACAGCATAAATCCCAGCCTAGTAGAAAGGAAAGCACTAGCTGATCCTCGCTGGGCCCTTCCAGCTGAACTACTCTATTCTGAAACCTCGGAAGGGAAACTGCCCAAACGAGCTGCGGGCCACCAAGGAGACAAAAGGGCTGGCTACGCAGAGTGCCTGAAAGCCATCAGAAGCTATTTCCAAAATGCTAAGAATGAGCTGTCACTAGGGAAGATTCAATACCTGTGACACCGGAGGTTCGTGCAGGTCCAACTGAAGTCTCTGCACAACATCAGTGAAGTCTTCAGCATGAAAACAGACCACATCTTTGGTTATACGAGGCTGGTCACTCCTAGAAAAATACAAGAATTCCAGGAATTTGTAAAGAATTTGAGTTACAGAGAATTATAGCTCTTTCCAGCAGAAAGTTTCATTGAACCAACAACCTACTTCAGTTTCTCACTGCTCATTAAGTCTTATCATTTCTCAGTACATGTATTATTTTGAGAAGGAGGTATAACTTAGATTTTTTTTTTACTTCTTTCTTGATGCATGCACAACAGAAGTGATGTTTTCGTGGACAAATACGATACTGAAACGTCCAAGAACTAGGTTCAAGTTGCCACTAAAGTTCTGTGTTCTAGGAACCACACCTTGCCTCGATTCTTCCGTTCCATAATTAGACAGAATAATTCTGTATTAAAGGAAAAACGTAAAGTAACAAAGTAGCTCTGAAGCCGAAGCAGTGAGGAGCTGTGTTTATTGGACAGCTGCGAATCAGAGTAAAGGAAGTTCTGGCGCCTTTTATTCCTATGAAAATCTAGGGATATTGCTAATGATGCTGTCCGATTTCTACTGTTACTGCTAGAAATAGCAGTGATGCAAGTCCAGTTTCTATGCAAGGTCAACAGCAATGCCCTGGGTACATGACCCAAGAAAGCACTGTAGCTGTAATTATGCCGAGTTCTTCGATGACTGTTACAGAAGTCAGCATCAATACACCCACCCAGGAAAAGAACAATCACAGACGATGCTCCAGGCATAGTATCTTAAGGCTTATTTTGTACATCACTCAGTTTCTGCAAACTGCTGTTAGAACTATTCTACTGCCTCAAGAGGAGGGGGAAAAATAGTAGGTACATAGCTTGTCTTTTTCAAGCTCTAGACAATTTATCTCATTACAGGGTTTAAACCATTTATTCAATCAGGCTTTTTTTCCAAGGAATTTTCTTTAAGAGAGAAAGTGTCTAGAATTACCCCCTCCCACTAGAACAGTTGCATTTCATTCTGCACTTACCATTCCCCAAACTGTACAGCCTTCAGAACACCCACAGCGGCTGTACTCTGCCAGTCAAACCCTTGACCCACATGATCAGCGTGAGCTCTCGTTCTGTCTTCAAACAGAACCTCACGGGGCTCGCTGGTCCGAGGTAGGTACTGGAGATTCTTTATTTCGTTCATTGACCTACAGCACAATAAAGACATACTAAAAAATGTTTCAGACTACTCAAGCACGAATATTTGTATTAAAATAATCTTAAAGTGCTGTGTGCTGCAGGCTTCAAAAATCAAAGACCAAAGCACTTCCCTCAGATTTCTTCCAGGTGTTTATTCAACAGGAGATTGAAACAAATACAGCAAATTACAAATCCAGTCACTAAAGATTTTTCTGGTCACTTGTGCTGAAAGAATTCTTCCAGGAATTTAATGGTATGTGAAACAGAGCTATTTTAACAGATACTGAAGTTTAGTTATTTGGGAGTGCATCTGAAAACTCTGCTTGAAATTACAATTAAAATATGCTTCAAATTCTTTACCTCCTAAAATTTGTTCTACAGCACAGTCTGAGAAAGACAGCAAGTACACATGTACACCACAGTATTTCCTGAGAAGACAGACACTATTACAAGTGCTCTGGCACTTACATTACACATCAGTGTAAGGATCTCTGCTTTTTTAGAGCATTTAACCTGTTGTCATCCCCCCCAAATTAGTTCTTTCCACAGAAAGACCATGACTAAAACAAGCCTCCTGAAGGATAATAAAAAAGAGGTTTCAGTCTTAAGACGACATTGATCTAGGGCATACTACTATGAAAAGGGCTGAAATAAAATAACTATCACAAACAACATACTTGTCTTATCCACTGAGTCAATCTGAAACAAACGAAAATGAAACTTAAATTTGTGAATCAGCCTTCTGAAGAACTAGTTACACAAGATATTTAGGTTTTGTTCTCAAATCTAACACTGACATAACTGCAACGTTTCACCTTTAACATGGAGAGGAAAACAAAACATTACCGGCGCCGTTTGAATGGCGATTTTGGCATATCAGCTGTTGGGATCATCTGCTCTCCTGGTCTCACCCACATTATGGGCCCATCATCACTCTGTGACCTGCACTCAAGTCTGAGACTAGAAAGGGTACCCCAGGGCAAAGTCATCTAGAACAAAACAAAAAACAAAACAACCCACAAAACACACATAACACAAAACACTGGGTGAGATAGAAAAATTAAATGATGCCTTTGGTAAAGCTGGTTCAAATTTGCTGTCAAAAGAATTGCACAGAAACTAAAATAAGTTTGAGAGGTAAAATCTATTCCAAGCTAACTTTATCAAAGTCCGTTTTTAGGGATGTAGATTATGTAGTGCATATATATGATAAACTACATTTAAGTTTTTAATTATTCACACAACTGTAGCTACCTAATTCAGTACCTTTCGTCTGGACACAGGAAAGAATGTACCTCAGTAGCCCAAACGATAAGCACATCAGAAAATACCTCGTGGTTTCTAATTACTTGGAAATATATGAAATTTAGCAATTGTTTAAATATCTATAGCGCTCTAAACAAAACACAAGTTACTGCTTACTCTGAGAAATGGAGATTCTTCTAACATATCTAGAAATTCTGGGAAGTAGTCCCCAACTTCTTCATCCACTGCTCCAACAAGACTGATCTGCCGCATTGGTCCTGCTCTGTAGGTTCCACAGCAGTACGTTCGATTGACCTGGGTGGCCAGAAAGGAAAAGACAACACCAGCACAGCTTTAGTTCTGTGACAAGAGACTGGCATTGATTCATGTCATACACCAGGCCACGGCCGAGACAAATCTTGGACTCATCTACACAATGCATTGACACCTATTTCATTAGAGGTGCCTCTGGGAACACGCACAGAGACTGATCGGGGCAGACGCCCGCAGGGTGTCCCAAGAGAAAAGAACTCCTGTCGGCTACTGACAGGAAATACTTCTAAAGTTTGCCGAGTAACAGCAAGTCAGCATTTAAGTAATTCAGGAACAATTCAACACTTCCAGGCTGGCTTGAGAAATCCACCATGCAAAGTCTCATTGTGACCCAGTCTTTCACCAGCAAACATGAACTCTACTAATTTGTGCAGCTGAGCATTGCTTCCACATTTCGAGCTGTATGCTATAAAATATGTGCATTCTTCGTTTCAGCCACGTCCTACAGGGCTTTTCCCTATGACTACAGTGAAAAATCCAGGTGTCCTTCATGTAGTGGTTCTGGTCATACCACCAAGTGTATACACAAAATTGGATAAAAAAGTTGAGGATATGAGAGGTCTACCTAGAACTAGAGTGTTCACGTACAACAGTTTTAGGATTACCAGTTGCAATAGAACCTGCTGTCACTGCTGTGACCAGAAACACTTTAATCTCACCCACAGCTTTTTGCCATCCTCTGTAGCACAGGCTGTCCCACTGTCCCAGGTCATCTGGAAACTTCCCGTGCCCATTTCCTGCTCCCAGAGGAGAGCCACCAGCCAGACTCCAGCATTCTCTAGTCTCATCCTGTGGACTGCAGCTGTAACATGCCATATAGCCACAGAGGAGGTTGTATGTAGATGCAGCAGCAGCTCCGTCTTAAAAGACCAGAAATTCTGTCCTAATTAGTGTTTTCTATACTCAGTTGTGTCCGAGCCCCAACCTTCCATCACCCTTCAACAGCCTCTCTACACTCATCAAGCAGTTCTAGTGCTGAACAGCTACAGCCAATCTCCAGGGCTAAGCGGTGGGACAGGTACAAAGGACAGAGGGTTACCGGTAAATTTGTAGTTTTATAGTCATGTTCAGGAAGTGCAATACCTTTTATAGCTCCATTTATACAGGTTTGTATGAAGCAGCTTACATTTAAGTATTTTAGTTTTAAGTTCTGCAGTTTAGCCAACAAACCAGAAGTAGTTAAACTACTCCATGAAGTCATTAAAGGTAAATTATGAGATACTAATAAAGCAAGAGCTACAGTTACCACTGCAATTTTATCCTCGAGCAGCAACCATAGATATTTAGCTTCTTAATTATAGGAGTTTAGCTCGCTCCTATTTCCAGACTCCTCCTTTCTTTAGCTTCGTGTATACGCAGTTGGCAGTTCTGCATTGATTGCACACACATTTTAATTAAAACCTCAGAAGGAGCCAAAGACAACTTCACATATAGCTTTATTCCTCAGCCCTAAGCCAACTGCTGCACCGCATCACCTCTACGTGCACGTGTACAAGTTTACATCCCAAGTCGTGCACAGAACTTCACCGTGCAGCTCAAGCACTCCACCCTCAAGTCCATCAAGACCACCATCATGCCATCAGACCACCAGCACATACTAACTTCCTGATTTTGGCCATACAGAGGCTGTTAATTCTTTTTGGCTGTTGCCCTAAGTGAAAGTTAAGTCTCCAAATCCTATTAGAACACTACTGGTACAGTTACTACCTAACATCAGTAAAGTGGAATGGTTTCACCAGCTAGCTGGAACACAATTCAAAGCAGTAGTACTGGAAAACCATAACACTAGCCTAGTTCGGTGCACCTACAGGAGAACTAAGGACTGAAATGCTCTAGTCCTTACAGCAGTTAAGTTTAGCTGCCTGGTACTACTGAAGTCAGTAGAGACAGACCGTCTGTTTCCAGATGAGATTTGTTCTATTGAAACCACCTGTTGAGAGTCACTAGTATTTCACAGGTGTTTGTCACAAGTTAAAATGAATTATAATACCATACACAGTTTTTCCTTGTAATGTTTTTGAAAGGAATTAAAAACTAGAAGCTCTAACTTTTTTTTTTAATTCATTGGAATGCAATGAAAAAAAGAAAATAATTCAAGTGCTGCAAGAGAGACACTAGAAACTTTAAGGAAAGCTTGGATTTCAGTGTTTTGCTAGTTTTTAATAGAACTTAAAGAAATATGTACACTTCAGGATTAAAGCCAGGTCATGTTTACACTGAAAATATGTACCTCCTCACAGCAATCTCCAGTGGGCTGTAGAGTTCATCTCAAGCACCTTGATCACAGGAGAAGGAGTCTACCAGTTTAATATGCTGTAAAAAATTCTCACACATACAGTTTCTATCTCATCCTTCATTCTTCAGAGCAGCACAAATACCAATACCCCTGGCTGGATTAGCGGTCTCAAGAACATGCAGTACGCCAAAACCTTGTGTGCAGTAACAAGCATGTTCCTGACCTAAAACAACAGGCATCTTGCTCATGGGGCACTAAACCACCCCACTGTAAAGGCATACCAAGTGACCTGCGTGCTGCACCTTCTCGCAAGCTGCTTTGGCCTTTCATTTGCCAAGTGCTCCAGATGCACTCTTAACAGCTATATTAATTTTACAGTCATCTTCATGCACCCCTCTTTCTGGGGAAGAAAGATGAGAATATGAAATACCTGAAGTCACTCCATTATATCCACTAGGACCTTTCTCAAAGTTTCTCGTTTTTGTTTAAAGTTCAGTTCTTGTTTAAGAACTTCACCTGGGTCATTCCAGCTTACATGGCTTTCAGAAGTTAATAATTTATTACCACAGCACCTTCATTGGTATGATTTGTTCACTACACTCCTTTAAAAACATCAGTGGATCATAGGAGTACCGACTGCCACTATCTACAGATCAGATCAGGCACTACCTTTACTGTTATAAAAGGACCAGCGGCTACTAAAACCCTTCAGGTGTCCCGTGCCCTTTCAAAATGCCAAACAGCTATCACTGCCCTACGCATCCCCTACTCCATACGGTACCACACTAAAAGTGACATTATAGGCATATTTAAAATTAGTTTTTCAGTGTTCATGGAGACATTTTACAGCAGCTGAACGATGAGCCCATCAGTGTTGCACACACTTGATGAGAACAGAAGCAGACAGCCTTCGCGTTTCCTGTAGAAGCTACAGATCTGTGCTGGCACGTTACTGAGAGAATTCAGACCCCGCCTCACAACGGCTTAGCAAGCAGCATACACCCGCAGGGTAAGAATGGGACGTACAGATGAGGCATAAGCTTGAGACAAACGAGGTTAAATTTCGGAAGTTTCTCTCTAGTTTCAAGAAGAGCACGAACCAGTTGGCAGTGACAGTATTTTAGTATGTCAAGTCAGCTACAAAACCAACCACGCAAACACTTTGCTACAAGGAAGAAAGCAAGAACGGAAGAAGGCTTACTGTTTACACAGAAGGAAAGGAGGACAGCGTGACATGCAATTACAGCAAGGGTTGTGTGCTTGACTAAAACCTGTCAGATACTTCGTTAAGACCATCGGGCATTATTTATATGGCTTAAGTGGTAAAACAAGTTAAGTTTGCAGTACAGATGCACAATTTCTCCATTTCATACTTGGATAGCTTCTGCTAAAAAAAAGAAGCCGCCCTTCCAGAATAAGAGACCTTCTTCCAGGAGTAAGGAAAGTTAAGATGGGGCAGACAACCCAACTGTGATATGGTTCATTAGCCAAAGCTGTCAGGAATAGAGTAACCTTTTCTGACAGTATGTTGCAGGAGTAGGAACGCTTTCCTATTATGACCTGTTGGCTGCTTCTCCTGCCTCCTTCCCAGAAGGAACAGCAGCTTATGTAAAACCTGCTTCCCTCAACTCTTTCCTGGCCTGTCCCAGAACCCCCAACTCCTTTGTGACAGTTGAACTGTTCATTGGACCATACAGAGAACTGACCAGGGAGTTGATCTGTCTCTTCTTGGAAAAGACACAGAAGTGTTTTTTCACGTCTAGATATATCCCAATTTACTGAGTGGACCTAGAAACAGTTGTACTGAAACAACTGGTAGGGAAGATAAGAGCTCATTCCAGCTGCACTGCTAAAAATGTTCAAACTGAAGTACGCCCTTATGTGAAGAAAGTTTAAAAATTACTGTTCAGTGATTTGAGTCTTGAAAGCTCTTAGTTCAAGTGAACAGCTCCAAACTAAAGCTTAGCTTTAGCACTAAAGTATTAGAACAAATGAGCCAGAGCCAACGCAAGCAGAAAATCCAGAGAACATTGAAGCTTAATCATTTTAATATGCAGAAACCAAACAGTTATACTACAAATACACACTGGAGTGCTTTGTTATAAACATTCAGTTTACATTGTCCTCATTGCCCTGAGAACAAAGGAATTCACCTTGCAAGGGAGCTAATTATCACTAGATTGGCATGAAGTCTTCCAGATTAAAGTCCTTATTTTGAATTGGAGACACTGCCTACTAAAATTCAGTTTGTCTGAAAAGGTATACAAAACAGCTGAATGGTGCACACAAAGGTCACATTAATTTTCAGTTAACTTGCAGTTTACCAATCAAATTGACTTCTTGACACTGAGTCTCCAGGACTCGAGATCACCCAACGCTCGAAATCCCTTGCACAACATGGCTCAGTACAGCAAACAAGTTCATGCATACAGAAGGTCCAACCTAGAACAGAGGTGACTTAACTGAGTGTCTTCAATCAACAATAATATCAGTATTACAGCATACAACAATCCTGTAACATGCTGAACCCGCAGAGGCATAACGATACAGTGCTTTTGCATTGCACAATCTCTCAGGCTGGAAGGCCCAAAAGCGAAGCTTAGCCAATCTGTTCATTCCTCTGCAGCGCTGCCGAGGAATCGCAGTAAAATAGCCAGACTTACCTTCCCTGTGCTCTCTTAAGCCGGGCATTTTAGCCTTCTCTAATTAAAGATAAGCTCACTTGCAAAACCTGAGTTTGAGCAGCACGCAGCTACCAGTCGAATCCACCATCGACTGAAATGCATCCTGAAACCAGGCACTTTACCATCACCCATATTCTCCTGAGTCCCATTTCAGCTGTCTTATGAGTTGTGACAACCATACTTCTCTGTTTGCTCAGCGAGTGAGCCACACTAACATACTTCAGCCAGAGAGGATTAACCAGGGCCTGCTGAAGCTGGGTTTAGAGGTTTTTAGTCCAACAGAACCTTATGTCAGGACTCAATCTTAATCAAGTTTAGACTATGCTTAAAATAGAATTAATTGAAGTACCAGCACAGCCTGAAACCCAGTGAAGCCTCTTGTTTATTACCATACATTCCTCACATGTATTTATAGTATAAGCTATTCATGTTCCCAAGACAGAGACATTCACCAAGAAAAAGTGTAATTGTTCAATATCCAATTTGCACAGCTTAGCCGTTTTAGGGGGCCATCACATGTGCTCAAAGTAAATTAGAATGTAATCATGATGTCAAAGAACATCGATAAATCCCTAATACCGGAGACCTTCAAACCCAACCTGCGGACAGGTTTGACATCTGCAGAACAGGCGGGCACTGTGCAGAAGCGCTGCTGCCGACAGCAGCAGCCACTACGCTCAGACTGCTTTTGGAGTCCTGTGCACTCTGCCGCTGCTCTGTCAGCACAAAGGATTACTTAAGCCAGCTTCAATTTCTTGGTTTCAGTGCTGCAGCAGCAGCAGCTATGCATTGTCAAACAAGTTCAAAAGCAAAGTGTCAGAACAACTAATTTAGTGGTATCTGTGATAAATGCTGGAAAGCATTCAAAGACTCCACGAGTGACCACGCAGGGACTTTCTCCAAAGCAGTAACCATTTTTCCAATGCAAATCTTGCTTATGAGCATTTAGTAAACTCTGGAGGGATACAGACAGCCCACCCCCAAGCATCACCATTTCAAAATCTGTTCCACTAGCGCTGAAGTGCACACCGTGACAGTTTCAGGTTTTTCCCTCCAACAGGTGAACCACTAAAAGTAGTTAAGGTCTCGAATAAAGACTTCAAAAGTAATCAACAGTTTGAATCTGTTCTCAGACTAGACTAAGCAGGCAGGGATTTTATTCCATCTGAAACAAATTTATCCAAACTGTAACGCTGATGTATGTTCACAGATACTTCTAGGCTTGATCACAAGAGTCAAATACAAGGGTTTTTCATGTGAGAATCTTGAAATTAGCTTAGTTATTACTGTTGGATCCATTTAAGTTACATGGAGATACAGTTTGAGAATTTAGGATAGTTCAAGCCTACTATGGACATCAAGGTAGTACATAAAGTGAAAGCCTTTTTCAACAGCAATTAAAAAGACTCTAACCACCTCCCTGAAGTTGGGAAGTTTAAACATCCAGCATCAGCTACTGAGAGAATTAAGATGTTAAACTTTTGTTGTGAATGATACACTGAAACCTGAAAAGTAATATCATTGCAAAAAACCCAGATCTCTTGAATAGAAAAAGCAGCGTGTGTGCGATCTGTACAACTCTTAATACAGACCTGCCTACTGTTTTGAACAATGTCAGTGTTCTCCCAAGTTTAGAAGATCCACTGAAGTCTGCAAGATCAGCACAGATCTTTCGTTTCTGAAACGCGATTCACCAACTACCAGTGGGCACAAAAGTGTTTTAAGCAGAAATAAACAGCACAGCAGCAGCCGTCCCAACATCATCTTTTTTCATCTGCTGAGAAAAAGAATGTGCGCCTCACCTATTTTAGGCCATCCCTGCTCTGGATTAATGAGATTAATCAGATCTAGGTGTTGTGCAACTTCTATGCCTTTAAACAGTTCTTACCTGAGAGTGAAAATTCGAAATTGTTGTTGTTTCAATGTCCTTCTTGCCCAAAATTTCCATTTTCACTGGAGTGTTAGGAAAGTTAAAAGCAAAGTAATCCAGGAAATCTGGTAAATAAGCAGCTGCTCCGTGGACTATGGCTAAAGCATAGTAAGCTGCATTTTTATCATTTTCACTGAATGACAACGCAAGGAACTCTTCTGCAAACCTCTCCATCTCCACTGGAGACAAAAATGAGAGTTCATCCATGTAAGCATGAAGGACGAGAGCACCACCATTGGACTGATGTTCTTCATGAATGAAGTTACTAAACTTAGTGCCAGTTTTCAAGAAGCTGCTGCGAACAGAATGCTCCTGGTGTGTCACAAACGGTGTTTGTACTCCCTGGGGTATTCGATACTCCTGCATACCCAAATTCAGTCTGCAGAGCTGCTCATCCTTCAGATACCTGAAGGATTCCTTGTTCATTTCCAAGTTATCACACTGTCCTTGAGACAGAGTCTCTTTGTCAATGCGAGTAAGTCCAGCACACACTGTCTGCACTTCTTTGTTGTACATCTTCAGGCGTTTCCCCCTCATATCTTCCCGGTGTTTCTTTTTCTTTTTTTTCTTTATCTTCTTCATAATAAGACTGTCAGCTCGCTGGGTTTTGCCATTTTCATCTGGCATTTCTGGCAGCAAGAATAAAGAGAAGATTAGAGTTCTGCAGTTGCAGCATATTCACCCAAAAATAATTAAAGACTCATTTGCTAAAGCTCTCTATTCCCAGGAAGACTGACCAATAGTAATACCTTGACTTTTGACTTACAAGACTTAATGGCACAACAAAAAATGCAGTACATCTGGTTATTATGCAAAGGAAGCCTTGAATTAAGGAAAACTTCCAAAACTCAAGCTTAATATTGAGGAAATATTTCCATTGTTAGTAGATTTATTATTATACCTTTAAAAGGAGGCCGTATTTCAGAACATCTGTAATTAAGTACATTAATAACTTCTGACATTTAAGGCAGTGCCACGCAGGGGAAGTGGATAAACAAGTATGTGTAACATTTAAACATTGAGACTTTCATTCCTGAAGACTTCACTGATACTGGATACACAATATAGAAGCAAAACAGAGTGCAACTGAATAGGTACGAGCATTATTGACATTCAGAGGTAAAAATACTTAAAGCAATTAGCTTTCTGGGGAAAAAAAAAAATCTTAAGACTGCTGATCTTCTGCATTAAAGGATCCGAATCATCACATCCACATCTTAGCTATCTTTTGCTATCTTACAGTCAACTATGCAGTTAACTCAGAAATTAAGAGGTGGTTGTTTGTTGGTTTTTATTCAAGGTTAATCAACCTGTAAAAGGCTAAAGACTGACATAAAATGTAAAGAAGTAGTTGTTAGGCAAAATGTGATAGTTTAATTGCTCATCTTTTAGGAATACAAACCAATTCAAATAATATTTAGCAAGTAACAATGGTAGTTAGAAATCTTGATGGCCCAGCTGTTAAAAACTCAATTGCGAAAACAAGATTTTAATCTGCCCAAATCAAAGAACTATTTTGTGCCAACAACGGACATAAACCTCCAAGAGCCATATTACCAGAACAGCTACAGGGATCTGAACAATCTGCTGCTGAAGGCAACACCTGCCTAGGAGATGCAATAGCCGAAGTTTTTCAGTTTCGCACAGCACAGGGCTTTGTGCTAACAAAATTCCCTTCCTTTGCCTGCAAAGCTATCAAGTTTGTATTCCCTCTTTATTCTCTTGCAGTACTTGAAGTTAAGGAAAACACAACACATTATACTTATCTATGAGGAAAGCTGTAATGATAAATACATGCAATCTGACATTACTTAGTCTAACCACAGTATTTAACTGTATCATTACTAGTTTGGTCTTGCAGCTCTTTAGTAAAGATGGTTGACCTTCATAACAGCCTGGTGCAATGAACAGAATTACTCATGGAGCAAAGAAAGAGTTGATTGCTTAATACTAACTTCGTACAATTGTCTTAGGACCTGAAATACAAGTTTTCACAGAACTGCTGTTAGCCTTCACAAACAGCAGATGCCCTTACTTTTACATTACAGCTAGGGAAACCACGAAAAGAAAGGTGGTACCACTTGTTTTGGTAAGTCAACTGAAGCAGTTCTTTGAATAAGCTTTTCTGGAAGTCTCAGAAGTTAAGCACGCATGAGCTTACTCAGTCACTAAGCTCTCAAGTATAGACACCGCTTTACTAACTGCGATGAACACACTAATCACACAGAATATATTTACTCTGGTGGGACCAGAGATTCCAAGCTGAAACTAAACAAGAATTTCATGCCACCATTGAGCTGTTGGGAACGCTTCCCTGTAGATGTTCCTAAGTTAATTTTTAGTTGTTAAAGGTGTCTTATTTTAAAGATTTATAATTTTAGACGTAATTTTAAAACCTCAGACATGCACTAGTTTTAGCTCAGAGTATCTTGCTGTTTGAAGATATTCCCCAATAGCAGACATAGCACTCTTTGCATTCTGGTACTTCCAGCGAACGCTGGTTTATTTTCAGGATAAAAGCTCTCCTGACCGCTGCTGTATCTACCCAGTGGTGAACACAGCAGAGCCCAACTACGACAGTGAGAGTAACCTCTGTATTAGTGAAACCAGAGACATTATGGTAATGACTGACAGCCCTGAAGGAACTATAGTTTTAATTATTCCTTTAAATAAATGGAAAGCCTCCAGTACCTCAAACACAAAGAAAGCTATAGCCAGGTCATCGAACTATGGGCTCCCACAGTAAGGTAGAATCACAGCAGTGCCAGTAACTCAGCTAGTCTAAAACTGTTCGACATCACATAACTGAACTCACCAGTATCACTATTAAAAAGCAAAACCACTGGATGTGGAGATGTTCAATGTCACCCACGGCCAGAGAAAAGCACAGTGCAGTCAAAGAAATAGGCAGTTTAATCACATTATACGCATGAACAAAAACTGATAGTGAAAGACAGGAAAAGAAATCCAGCCCCATCCCAAAACCCACTAAAATGCAGCCTAGGACAAGCAGCAGAGCTTCAGACTTCCAGCTAGCAAATAGCTTTCCTTCACAGATCTGGAATTCAGATGGTAATTTCAGCAGTGTTTAAGCATTCATTAACATAAGGCCTCATTTAATTACTGGGTTAGAGCTGACATTTGGTGACACTCCCAGTCTAGAAAAATGTACTACTTCTGTAGTTCCATCAACATTTATCAAGCTAAAGTTTGATATTTACAGTCCAGGAGCTTTTATAGTCATTATTCAAACACAGTGGCTTAGAAGCATTAAAACAGCAGTGAAAAGTCTCTCCCCATAATGCTTCTGCCCATTCTTAAGACGCTGCTATCTAGAGTTTACACTACAGACCTAACTTTCATAAGCACGTGTGTCTTTGGTTTCTTTGGCACAATACCTTCACATATACTCCCGAAACATAATTCACAACATAGTACCTTTATTACAGCAGCTTTTGCAATTGCTTTTTATCTATGCTGCTCTCACCAAGAGATTTTTTACTATCATAAATTTATGAGCAGAATCAAAACAATCATTCTGCACGGTTTAATTAAAAAAAAAAGACACACACACCAAAATTCGAGACATTTTGGCCTTCCTGTCAGAGAAACTGCAGGGCGTTTATTTAAAAAACAAACGAACAAGAAATGCGAGCCAAACCAGCAGCTTCGCAGCTCCAGCACCGGTCAGTGCAAGCACGGCAGCAGAAACGCTTTACGATCCAAGCACTCGTTTGGAGCCCACGACGAGGGCAGCTC